AGAAGCATTATCCAAGATTGGAATATTTTGCCAATAGAACCAGTTTCTCCAATGGATTAGGAGGAGGTGATTCCTCAACAGCCTCCAGCACACCCAAAATCTTCTTCAGAGGTGTTACAAAATTTATGGACCAGACTTTCTGAGCAATGCCAAGGGCTGCTGGGAAATGGAGATAGTTGCACTGTGCTTACTTACTTACTTAGTATGATGGCCTTCCAAGCGTAGTATCTTGGCGGTGGATATGTAGGTGACTGTGGAGCCCTATTCTTGATCCTCATGTTCTCCTACAGTGAGGACATCAGTTTCCAAGTGGAAGGAAGTCCCGGTCAGGTTTGGCTTGACATGCCTTCCTCTTGGCACATTTCTCCCTTTTGCGCTCCATTCATGCCTCTTTAAATTTTGCAGCATTGCTGGTCACAGCTGACCTCCAGTAAGAGTGCGCAAGGGCCAGGGCTTCCCAGTTCTCGGTGTCTATGCCACAGTTTTTAAGGTAAGGTTTAAGCCCATCTTTAAATCTCTTTTCTTGTCCACCAACATTCCGTTTCCTGTTCTTGAGTTGGGAGTAGAGTAAGTGCCTTGGGAGATGGTGATTGGGCATTTGGACAATGTGGCCAGTCCAGCAGAGTTGATGGCTTAGGAGCATCACTTCAATGCTGGTGGTCTTTGCTTCTTGCAGCTTGCTGACATTTGTCGTCCCAAGAGATTTGTAGGATTTTTCAGAGGCAAAGCTGATGGAATCGTTCCAGAAGTTGAGTGTGATGCCTGTAGATAGTCCGTGTTTCTCAGGCATATAGCAGGGTTGGGAGGACAATAGCTTTATAAGCAAGTACCTTGGTATCCCTACGGACGCTCTGATCCTCAAACACTCTTTGCTTCATTTGGAAAAATGCTGCACTCACAGAGCTCAAGCAGTGTTGTATAACACTGCACAATTAGGACTATGTTTGTGTAATGTTGGATCATAGGTTAGAAAGTTGTTGCTGTTGTTATTTGTCAAGTTATTGTTATTTCTGGCAAATGAACTCTATTGTGAACCTATTATGGGGTTTCCTTTGACTGAGAGTATGTGAACAAGGTTACCCAGTGGACTTCCATGGGCAAGCAGGGAATCAAGCCCTGGTCCCCAGAGGTGTAGCGTAACGCCCATACCACTACTCCACATTCACTCCAATTTTTAAAACAATTCCTATTATTGCTTTGGTGTTGGAAGAGTAACTTCTGTTGTTACTCATATCAGTATTGAAAAAATAAGTTTATTATTACTCATCCATTATTTTTGTTATGTTTTCAAGAGGTGAAAAATCAGGATTGATAAAAATAATACATAAAGCTTAAATGGTACTCAAAATGCTTTAAAATATTCTTCAGTAACAAGAAACTTACAGGATGCACTGATGAAGTGAATTTTTCTTGTTTTGTTACTAACCTATTCAATTATATCGGAAGTAAGGATCATGTGGCCCTACAATAGCTGCTGAATTGCAAGTCCCTACTTTCATCATAATTGATTGTGGTTGCTGCTGCTTCATTCATGTATTTTCTACACCTGTCTTATACCCTTGTTCTCTCCTCCCCTAGAGATAACTAGTTGTAAGTAATTGGTACTTGGAATATGTTATCTCCAAGTTCTGCATTGGATCCTGGAGTTCCCAAAATCAAGTAACATTTTTTGTCTATCTATTAAGTCACTATTTAATTATAACCTCAATAGTGTTTAAATATCAAGAGACTTTTATGGTGTCTGCCCTCATGCACCACTTAGTTTGCATTAGTGTTACTGAAGCCAGTGGGATTTCTCTACATCAGAACTGGCCTTTCAAATGTTACTACTTCATCACAATAGAGAACCAATCCACTTTAAATCTGGTTTCTGCCTCCTGCAGAATTCTGGGGTTTGTCGTTTAAGGAGGAGCCTTTAAAAGCCTCACTAAACTACAAGCCCCAAAATTCAGCAGGAGGCAGAAACCAGATTTGAAATGGATTCATTCTCTAGTGTGATGAGGCACTTAGACTGCAATGCTTAGTATCTTATTGTAATAAAAAGATGACTGTACAATCATAGAATCACAGAGTTGGAAGAGACCTCATGGGCCATCTAGTCCAACCCCCTGCCAAGAAGCAGGAAAATTGCATTACTGTTGGGGATTAAACAGTTGTTAGGAAGGCTGCAAAGTTATGCTTCATTGAGGAGATTTGTTTGTGCTAGATAGTTGTCTTTTAAAAAAGATTTCTGAAGGATTTCTGAAAGAAGCAAAACCATCTCCATACCTGAAGCCAACTAGATAAGCAAAGGGAGTTTTCAAATGAGATTGAGAAAGATGAGTTTATGTGCCGTACAACCTAATTGTATTTTGTGCTACTTGACTACAAACTTGGAATGGAAGTCAAGTTTGGTTATCTGTGGTTTAAACATGGTTGCTGCTATATTTGTTCAACTAATGCAGGTGTATATGTAAATAAATCAAAATCTTACAAAATGCTATTCCATCAGCCACCAGTGATCTCCTTCCACAAGAAACTGTGTAAGCTGTGCCCCAGAACAACTTAATGCTTAGAAAAACAGAGAGTATAACCAGCATGGGCAAACTTGGGCCCTCGAGGTGTTCTGGATTCAACTCCCACAATTCCTAACAGCTACAGCCCCCCCCCCCCCCAGTCGCGTAAGTGCAAAAGGAAAAGAAAAGGGCTTGAAGTATAACATCATCATGCAAAAAAAAAAATAATTATAGCATATATGGTCCCCAAAATAGTTGCTTCTCATTAGGATCCCTAGTAATGAAGACTAGCCCTACCGGTTGGGACAGTGAGAATGGCCCTTTGGCCTACTGATTTTGTACATCAAGAAAGGGCAGCAAATGATTAATTAGAGAAGTCCTTGAGGGATTTTTGTTTTAAGTTCCCAAATAATTTGGCTGGCTTTGGATACCTGTTATAAGACAAATGAGAAAGATGGGGGCCAACATTTACAATTTAATTTGAGCACTAATAATGGTTGCATATCTTGGATTACTTCAGTGAGATATGTACATAGGCAGATAGGATAGTGGATTTTAACTCCCTGGATTCAAACCGCCAACTTTCCAATCAGCAAGATAGGAATCTAATGAATGTACCCTAAAGACCCTAGCTTTCACTGCATTATGGGAAAATAATCTAATCACTATCTGAGGGCCCTTCCACACACCCAGAATACCAAGGCAGAAAATCCCACAATATCTGCTTTGAACTGGGTTATCTGAGTCCACACTGTCATATATTCCAGTTCAGAGCAGAAAACGTGTGGTTTTATTCAGCTGTGTGGAAGGGGCCTGTGTTAATGTTTCTGAGTCAATAGAAGTGGAACCGTTTTAGGCAGGGAAAACCTTATGAATGAATTTGGGAGGAACTGGAGCTTGAAAAGGGCCTGGGGCAAGAGATGTGATGAAAACAGGCTCTATTACAATTCAAGGTGGAGGTTATTACCTATAAAGCCCTATATCAGTGTTTCTCAACCTGTGGGTCCCCAGATGTTTTGGCCTTCAACCCTCAGAAATCCTAACAGCTGGTAAACTGGGAGTTGTAGGCCAAAACACCTGGGAACACCAGTGGTCCGTGGGACACCAGTGAGCCTCCTAGCAATATTAGATCAGCCCCCTCCCTCCTGTCCTTCAGAAGGATGGTGAAGACCTGGCTGTGGGACCAAGCCTTTGTGGCAATGCAATGAGGCAATAGAATGGTGTCATGAGATGGTTTTTAAGCAACTGATTTTAAAGTGTATATAAGTGATTTAATGTTTGTGTATATTTATAATTTTATGTCCCAGCATTGAATGTTTGTCGTATATATGTTGTACTCTGCCCTGAGTCCTCTGCGGCATGAGAAGGGTGGAATATAAATGCTTCAAAGAAATAAATAAACAAATAATTATTTCCGCTCCTTTTGCGCCACCTGCCACTTCTTCCCTGTCGCTGACTAGCCCTGCCCCCTTGGATAGAACCCATCAGCACTAGATAAATAAATATGGTTTTCTGTGAGTGAGCAGATGGTGACTACTGGATGGCATATGCTCTGTATCAGAAAGTAGAGCTGATGTGGTCTATCCAATGCAATTTTTTGAATCAGAGCCCCAAATAATCAACCCAATCTAAAGTTGACCAAAAACCAATTTGTAACTCTTTTAGTACTAATGTTGGAGAGTGTTCCCTGGCCAAAGTGGTTCTTGTTAAAAAGTGGACCCTGGTCAAAGTGGTCCCTGGTCAAAGAGGTCCCTGATCAAAGGGGTCCCCCCTGGTCAAGTGGTCCCTGGTCAAAAGGGTCCCTGGTCAAAGGGGTCCCTGGTCAAAGAGGGCCCTGATCAAAGGGGTCCCTGGTCAAGTGGGATCTGATCAAAGAGGTCCCTGGACAAAGAGGGCCCTGTTCAAAGTGGTCCCTGGTCAAAGTGGTCCCTGTTCAAAGTGGTCCCTGTTCAAAGAGGTCCCAGGTCAAAGAGGTCTCTGGTCAAAAAAAGGTTGGTAACCATTGTCCTAGAGAGTGGCTGCCGACATGGCTTCTTTGGGAGGTGCGAGAGATGCCGGGGGAGGCGGCTGTGCGGGCCGTGGGCTTTCCCCGCACACCTCCGCCTGGAGCGGGCTGGGCAGTGTGGTGCTCCATTGGCTTCTTTGTCAGTGTGCACGTTCCTCTAGTCTAGCTCATCCCCCTGGGGCAGGGAAAGGGGGGCCTTGGCTCCCCTCCAGGCCCACCTGAGCACCTCTACGGCAGAACAGGACAGCCCTTGGGGGAAGTGCGGGCCCGGGCGCGCGCAGAGGCCGGGCCCACGCGCTTCCCCGCTTCCTCGCTTGCTCGCTTGCTTCCGGCCTCCTCCTCCTGAAGCCCAGCGCCCCCACTCGGAAGGCCTGTGTGTATCAGGGGGCGAGGCGTGCCTGGCTGGGCTGCTCCAATCGCTTCCAGGCCGGGAGGTGGGGAGGGGAAGGCAAGAGAAGGGAGGGAGGGAGGGAGGGAGAGAGGCGGGAAGGCCGCCGCCCACACCCGGCCGAGCGAGCCAGCCATCCAGCCATCCAGGCCCTGCTGGGGCTGCAGCCCCCTCCTTGGGTGTGTGATGCACTGGTGAGCCCTCCTCCTCCTCCTCCTCCTCCTCCTCCTCCTCCTCTCCTTCCTCCTCCTCCTCCTCTTTCTGCCAGCGGAGCCTCTCTTTGCCTGACTCGCCCATGAGCCTCCTTGGGAGCTACCGGAAAAAGACCAACAATGATGGCTATGAATCTTTGCAGCTGGTGGACAGCAACGGTGACTTCTGCGGCGGCGGGAGCAGCACGAGCCTCAGCAAGCAAGGGGTGATCCCGGTGGTGGTGGCGGCGGCAGCGGCGGCGGCAGCCCGGAGCCCTGTGCGGCAGCAGCAGCACCAGCAGCACCAGCACCAGCACCAGCCGCTCGGCTGCAGCACCATGGACAGCTCAGGTAGCGCCTCCTCACTTCTTGGCCCGGGAAGGGAAGGGAAGGGAAGGGGAAAGAGGCGGGGAGGTGGGCCAGGGGAGAGCACCTTCCGGCCCCACCTCCCTCTTTCCCTCCTTGCCAGGCCCTAACTGGGCTCTGGCAGGCTGGGCGCCGGCCAGGCGGTCCTCTGCTTTCCAAGGCGAGGAGGAAACCCGAGAGGGCCCCGCTGATGCAAATTTAAACAGCTTTCCACACCGGCTAATGAGCAGAAACCCACCCCAGATGTCACTCTCGGCTGTGGGGAGGGGAGGGCAGAGAAAGGAGGCTCTGCTGGGGCCAATGCATTGTTCTCCGTCTAGCCGAGAGAGACGAGGGGCCCTTCCACACAGCCCTATATCCCAGAATTTCAAGGCAGAAAACCCCCACAGTATCTGCTTTGAACTGGGGCCCCTTCCACACAGCCATATAACCTAGAATATAAGGGAGATAATGCACACTATCTGCTTTGAACTGGGTTATCTTGAGCCCCCACTGCCATATATTCCAGTTCAAAGCAGTTAATGTGGGGTTTTATTCAGCTGTGTGGAAGGGTCCTGGGTTATCTGAGTCCACACTCAGGTAATGTGGGATTTCCTGCCTTGATATTCTGGGATATAGGGCTGTGTGGATGGGCCCTGGGTTATCTGAGTCCACACTCTGGTAATGTGGGATTTCCTGCCTTGATATTCTGGGATATAGGGCTGTGTAGAAGGGCCCTGGGTTTTGTGAGTCCACACTCAGATAATGTGGGATTTCCTGCCTTGATATTCTGGGATATAGGGCCGTGTGGAAGGGCTCTGAGAGAGACTCAAGGCAAGATTGTCCCTGCCTGTGTTCGCTGGCAATGTGTCTTGCCATAATCCACCACCCAATGATTGCCACCTAGGGAAAATAATCCCCATTCCCCTAGGTCTGGTCTCTGGCCTGGCAATGGGGCCCGCCATGAGCATGCTTGGAAACTTTTGGAAAGGAGTACATCATCTCAAAAGGAAAAGTGCTTGAGGGCCCTTCCACACAGTCCTATATCCCAAAATATCAAGGCAGAAAATCCAACAGTATCTGCTTTGAACTGGGTTATCCGAGTCCACACTCTGATAATGTGGAATTTTCTGCCTTGATATTCTGAGATATAGGGCTGTGTGGAAGGGCCCCCAGTCTAGGGGGAACAGATCAAATGAAGAAAAATTGATTAACCTGACAATTGAATTTTGACAGCTAATTGAGGGCTGTCAAACCATGATTCACTTAATTGTAGGCACTCCCTTAATTCTTCTGTTGGCCAAAAGAGTTCTTTTGTTATCCATAAAAGCATAACAGTGAGTAGCTCTCTTGACAAACTCCCATCTACAGGGTTACGGTGAGTTTTCCGGGTTGTATGGCCATGTCCCAGAGGCATTTTCTCCTGATGTTTTGCTCACATCCACAGCAGGCACCCTCAGAGGTTGTGAGGTCTGTTGGAAACTAAGCAAATGGGCTTTATATATCTGTGGAATGTCCAGGATGGGAGAAAGAACTCTTGTCTGCTGAGTGAATGTAGCGATTGGCCACCTTGATTAGCATTTAATGGCCTAGCAGTTTTCAAGGCAACTAATTTTCAACCAGAGAAGTCAGCCATAGCAGAGCACCTGATGAACCAACCTGAACACAGCATATTATTTGAGAACACAGAAATGCTGGTCCACTCTAACAACCACCATGTTAGACTACACAGAGAAGCCATTGAAATCCACAAGCATGTGGACAATTTCAACAGAAAGGAGAAAAGCATGAAAATGGACAAAATCTGGCTACCAGTGTTAAAAAAACTCCAAAATCATAACAGTAAATAAAGAACAACACTCAAAAACAGGGGAATGTCCAGGGTGGGAAAAAGAACTTTTGTTGTTTGAGTCAAGTGTGAATGTTGCAATTGATCACCTTGATTAGCATTGAATAGCCTTGCAGCTTTAAAGCTTGGCTGCTTCCTACCCGGGGGAATTCTTTGTTGGGAGGTGTTCGCTAGCCCTGATTGATTCTTGTTTGGAATTCCCCTGCTTTTTTAAATCCACAAGCATGTGGACAATTTCAACAGAAAGGAAGAAACCATGAAAATGAACAAAATTTGGCTACCAGTATTAAAAACTCTAAAATCAGGACAGCAAATAAAGAGAAATACCCCAAAAGCAGGGAAATTCCATACAAGAATCAATCAGGGCAGAGCTAACACTTCACAACAAACGATTCCCCCAGGCAGCAACCGGCCAGGCCTTGAAGCTGCAAGGCCATTAAATGCTAATCAAGGTGGCCAATTGCTACATTCACACCTGCCTCAAACAGACAAGACTTCTTTCTTCCATCCTGGACATTCCACAGATATATAAATCCCACTTGCCTCATTTCCAACAGACCGCACCAAATGTCAGGAGAGAATGTTTCTGGAACATGGCCATACAGCCCAGAAAACTCACAGCAATCCACTGATTCCGGCCATGAAAGCCTTTGACAACACATTCTCCATCTACAGACCTTGGGTGAGGTTGGCCCCTTATAAGGGATTAGGAATTGTTATTTTATGTGCATTTGTAGAGTGTGGAGTGATTCACTCCCTTCATAGCAAGAAAAAGGAACAACATATTTGTAATTTTGCGGCACTACTGTGCCCCTCCCTCCTCTTCCTCATGCCAATGGAAGTTCTGATAGATATAACCAGTGGAATCAGATTACAATGCTGCATGAATGGGGCTTTTCCTCAGCTAAATCTCCCAATTGGGTGGCCAGATGGTTTATAGGATTGGTACTAAGAAGCTATTCACTTCAGGGGTCCTGCTTCAGATTGGCCTGGATTGCTGAAAGAAGTTATTGATGGATTATCTTTTATGCACTTCAGCTGGAAAGATGGGTGTGTTCCTCTGCAAGACCTGCTTTTGGAAACCCATGGACTTCTAAAGAATTTTACCCACAGCTTTGTTTCCTTTCTGATGTTGGCCTCCTTTTCCTTCCAGACGAGAGAGTATCTTTTTGATGTATAAGCACTTTCCATAAAGTGATGAGCCGCCACTCTGCTTTCTTTCTTTTTTTTTAAATCCCTCATATCAAGTGCAGAAGTGACTCCCAAGGCACAAATGTCAGATGGAGTGTCTCATAGTTTACAAGTGCTTGATTAGGTTTTCTTTGATGTAATGTAGATGTCTCTTTTCTAAAAAAGAGAATTGCTCATTGGAAGTGACTTATTTGGTGGCGTTTGAGTGCATGTTAGGGAATTTTAAATACATAATAAAATCGGTTAATGAGACATCTACATTTTCCATCCTCAAGTGTGCAACCAGAGCTAGAATAATAACAGGAAATGGATTTATCAAAATTGAAGTTCAAAAATCAGATGGAATATCACAGCTGTCCACTTTTGGGATACGGACTGTACTGATCTACATGGTTCCTAACAAAATGTCTGAAAGAAAGCATTGAGAGCCTGGCTTTTTCACTAGGAGTGTTTGCCTATATAGTGAAATAAGTGAAAATTAGGAATCTTCAAAGGCTTGAATCTGCATACTCTGAATTATAACACTAAGAATACAAGTGACATTGCATTAAGGATAAGAGCCCGCCTTTCACTCCTCTGCCCAACTATTTCCTTGAGGTTTTCCCTATCAGTATCAAAATTTGTTGTCAAAGGCTTTCGTGGTCAGAATCACTGGGTTGCTGTGAGTTTTCCTGGCTATATGGCAGTGTTTCTGAATCTGGGGGTCAGGACCCCTGGGGGGGGGGTCGCAAGAGGTTTCAGGGGGGTCGCCAAAGATCATCAGAAAATACATATTTCTGATGGTCTTAGGAATCCCTTTGGCATAGTCGTTTGGGTTCCCAGTGCTCTCCAGATGTAGGTGAAAAACATCTCCCCTAAATCACTGTCAATTCATCCCAAATCTCTCCTGTATTTTCTATTGGTCATGGCGGTCTCTGAATAGGATGTCTGGCCCAGTTCTATCATTGGTAGGGTTCAGAATGTACTTTGTTGTGGGTGAACTATAAATCCCAGCAGCTACAAACCCCAAATCTCAAGGTCTAGTTTCCTCAAACTCCACCAGTGTTCACATTTGGGCATATTGAGTATTCATGCCAAGTTTAGTCCAGATCTATCATTGTTTGAGTCCACAGTTCTTTCTGGATGTAGGTGAACTACAACTCCAAAATTCAAGGTCAATACCCACCAAACCCTTCCAGTATTTTCTGTTGGTGGTGGGAGTTCTATATGCCACGTCTGGTTCATTTCCATTGTTGGTGGAGTTGAGAATGCTCTTTGATTGTAGGTGAACTATAAATCCCAGCAATTAGAACTCCCAAATGACAAAATCAATCCTCCCCAACCCCACCAATATTCAAATTTGGGCATATCAGGTATTTGTGCCAAATTTGATCCAGTGAATACCTCCTGCATATCAGATAATTACAATTCTTAACAATAGCAAAATTACAGTTATGAAGTAGCAACAATAATATTTTTTATGGTTGTGGGTCACCACAACATGAGGAACTGTATTAAGAGGTTGCAGAATTAGGAAGGTTGAGAACCACTGCTGTATGGCCATGTTCGAGAAGCATTTCCTCCGGACGTTTTGCCCACATCTATGGTAGGCATCCTCTGAAGTTCTGAGGACCTCACAGCCTCTGAGAATGCCTACCATAGATGTGGGCGAAACTCAGGTGAGAATGCTTCTTGAACATGGCCATATAGCCCAGAAAACCCACAGCAACCCAGTATCAAAATCTCTTGCCAATGCAATCCTATGCAGTCTGCTTCCATATCCACAGATTCAACAATTCATAGTTACTTTAATTTTGTCATTTTATAGGAGGGACACCATCTTATGACCCTATTGTATATTCGCGCATTCACAGATTTTGGAATCCACAGTTTGATTCTTTGGTTTGATTCCAGTACCACCACAGATTGTGGTATCTACAGGAGGTTCTGGAACCAAACCTTAGCAGATACCAAGGGCACACTATGT